CCAGTCAGCTTTCATGCCTAAGGCGGGACTAGAACTCACTTTCTCCTGGTTTTAGGTCAGCATCTTAACCATAAACCAAACTAGGTTTTGGTACTTTGTATTTTACTTTCAATTCATCCCATTTTGCTTTCATTAGTATGATGCAGAGAAGAGATCATCAAGTGCTCAGCAGATCAGATCACAGTTAGGGAGAAGGGTCTACGGCTTAATGAATCACGCATGGCTGAATCCGAACACACCATCGGCCCAAATTATGCCAAGCATTATTTTCTTCCTTATTATTTAAACTGTTCGAAGACCCTGGGGCGGACATGAGCCTGTCAAGCGCTGGATGACGAAAGGTCAGCCTGGCTGGAAACATCCCATAATAACCGTTCATCAAGCAAACTCTCTTTCCCCCAAGATGCCACGGAAGGATCAGGGAAACTGATGCTCCATCAGCTCTTCTGAGAGACAAGCTACGCTGGGCTCTTACTCGTCTATTGAATCCTAACTCTTTACTCCTGGGTTGATGTGTTGTTTCCCCTCTCCCCTCTCCTTCCCCTCCTCTTTCTCCTTTATGGCCCGACCATTTAATAGTAGTGAGGCTCTGCCCAGGAGTTAACTCTTTAAATTGGCTGTGCAGGTGGTCCTCGGAGTGATGCGGTGGCCTAGAGGTGGGGCTCTCGCCTGACTCTCAGGAAGCTGTGAGTGTCAACTAAAAAGAGACTCCTTTGGTCTTTTTAGCTGCCAGAAAAAAGGGAGTGGGGGGGAAACAAGGCATTCCTGAAATGCCTAGATATCAACTCAGCAGCCCAAAGTTGTTGGAGCACAAGGAGGGTATTGGAGAGCAGGTTGGACGACCCTTGGAAATGGATGTGTCCCATTAGAGAAGTCACATCCAGGGGTTGGGGTAAAGGCCAGGGTCAAGGGGGAAATGTATGATGGGATTTAGTACCGGCTGCACCCAGCCATGCGCCAACATGGCCATTTATAATAAACCAATTTACTTTTTCTGAGATGCGGCTTGAGACCTTTTGCTTTGAATGAGGGGGATTTGTGGAAGCCCTGACAGGGAGTTTGATTCTAGGTCAGGGATGGCTAATCTTTTCGTCGTCGCGTGCCGTTAAGTGCATGCGTGCGTGCGCATGCGTGCCTGCACCCAGAATTCAAGGCATGCGCGACCCCGCGCATGCGTGGGGGACCCAACCCCGCTCCCCCCGCACATGCACACGCATCGCCCACATGAGCCCCACCCCAGGCGCATGCGCAGCAGATACCCGAAAACCAGTTAGCTGGCGGGAGGCGCGTGCATAGTGGAACTGAGCTGAGGCGGCGGCTTGTGTGCCGCCAGAGATGGCTCTCCGTGCCACTTCCGGCATGCGTGCCATAGGTTCGCCATCACAGTTCTAGGTGGAGGCAGATATTTCTCTCTCTGGACATGATGTATCTGTTGAATATAACTCCACATTGGTGACAGGAAGGGCATCTGGCCAATAAACTCTGAGCTCCGTTCAGTGGCCCAGACTCCACCCCACAAGGGATTATGTGGTCATTAAATGGAGGTGATGATGATGATGGTGCAGGTGGTCCTTAACTTATGACCACAATTGACCCCCAAATTCCCGTTGCCAAGCGAGATATTTATTGGGTTTGGCCCCTTTAATCTGGGCCGTTTGAGGACAAAGAAGAGACAAAAGAATAAAAAGAAAGCCACATTTGAGTCGTCTTTGTCCCTATTCCCGTGTGGCACAGTGGAGAGTCCTGATGGCGCAGTGGTGAATCTGCAGTATTGCAGGCTAACTCTGCCGTCTTCCAAGAGTTTGATCCTGATTGACTCAAGGTTGACTCAGCCTTCCATCCTTCCGAGGTGGGTAAAATGAGGGCCCAGATGGTTGGGGGAAAGAGGCTGACTCTGTAGACAGCTTAGAAAGGGCTGCAAAGCACTGTGAAGCAGTATATAGGTCTAAGTGGTATTGCTAAGAGGGAGGAAAAGGAAAGGAAAAGGAAAAGGGAACGGAAGAGGAAAGGAAGGAAGGGAAAGGAAAGGAAAAGGAAAAGGAAAGGAAAAGGAAAGGGGAAAGGGGAAAGGAAAAGGGAAGGGATGGGAAGGGGAAGGGGAAGAGGACAGGACAGGACAGGACAGGATAGGAAAGGAAAGGAAAGGACAGGAAAGGAAAGGAAAGGAAAGGGAAGGAAAGGAAAGGGAAGGGAAGGGAAGTGAAAAGGAAAGGGAAAGGGAAAGGGAAAGGGAAAAGGAAAAGGAAAAGGAAAGGGTGGATCTTACCTGGGTTGATTTTCCTGGACTACGTTCTCCCCTCTCTGGTAGCCACCATCTGCCACCTGGGTGGTAGATCTCTTGACAATTTGCTTCAGCTCTTGCTCTAAACGATCCTGGATGGCCTTGATGGTCTCTGGAATTTTTCTCAGTTTGGCGAGTCCTTTGATGAGGATGCCCATAAAGACCGAGCTGTTCTCCTCGGGATCCAGGTCTAAATCTTCCTTGATTTCTATCAAGCTGACTTCCCTTCCTGGAATATATATATATATTTTTTTTAAAAAAAGACCGACCCAAATCGTGAAAAGAGTTTCTCGAGGCACGCCCAAAAGTTGTGGAGAGGGAGAAGTTCCTTGAGGATGAGCCCCCAACGTGACCCCAAAAGCTTCAAAGAATAAAGCTCTGGTCCCAGGGACAGACTCAGATTGGATCCTGCAACATTATCTGGCACACCCATGTTCACTTTCATTCATGACACCCAGGAGATATGGAGATGCACACAAACCCAAATCCTTCACTAACCTCTAAGGTCCCTTCTAACTCTGTTAATCAGATAGCAGTCTTCCAATATTTGAGGGGCTTCCACAGAGAAGAAGGGGGTCAACCTATTCTCCAGAACCCTTGAATGCAGGGCAAGAAGAAACTGACAGAAACTAATGCAGGGGAGAAGCAACCTGGAATTAAGGAGAAACTTCCTAAAAGTGAGAACAATTAATCAGTGGAACAGCTTGCTACCAGAAGTAGTGGGTGCTCCAACACTGGAGGTTTTCAAGAAGAGACTGGACAGCCATTTCCCTGGAGTGGGATAAGATCTCCTGCTTGAGCAAGGGGTTGGACTAGAAGACCTCCAAGGTCCCTTCCAGGACTACTGTTCTATGTTCTATCTGGGCTTCAAGAACTGAGACCCCGAGTAGAATCCAATCTGGAATAGTCAGCCCTTCCTCTTTCTCTTTATTTCTCTTTTTCTCTGCATCTTTTCTTGATACGGGTAGTCCCCAACTTACAACAGTTCGTTTAGTGACCATTCAGACTTACAAAAATGACTTATGACCATTTTGGGGCTCAATTGTGGTCGTAAATTGAGGACTACCTGGAATGTTTTTTTTTTGTGCTGCAGGCTCAGATGCTGTTCTTCCTATTCTTCCTATTTCTTCTTCTTACTACAGCATGGCAGATGATTACGTAACCCCGAAAATAAGACCCAAGCGGAAAATAAGCCCTCGTATGATTTTTCAGGATGCTCATAATATAAGCCCTACCCCCAAAATTAAGTGTTCTGACCAAGGCTTCTGAGAATGTAATTAAGCACACGCTTAGTTAAAGCAACTCTCATTTTATTTCAACGCTGGGAATTATGTTCATTCCTAGCCCGTAATGAGTCCCAAACAGTCTCTCGAGATAAGGTGAGTACCTTTCATCTCCTTTGAATGGCTGCCAACAACTGACGTGCCAAATGAACTGTAAAAACCAACCGAAGTACAAAGTCCACACAGAGCTTCAAGTTTTAATTTGAACAGAGCGAATAAAATTGCTTCCTGCAAAGTTTTCTTCACCTTTGCCTGTCCTTTATACCTTATGGGAGGGGCATTCACCTCCAAGCCTTACTCCCGAGTCGCCCCTTTTGTCTCAGCTGCTCTTGCCTTCTAGCAGCTCTGTGCATACGCGCACTGGGAACAGGCTCCCCTTGTTCCTCTGCCTCGCTGCTGCCAGGCTCCGGAGTCAGCACCCCAGTCCCAGATGGTCCTGGCCCCATCTCTGCATCGAATGCAGGACCCTCATCCGAGTCCTCCCCAGACTCCTGCACTGGTCCCCGTTCTTCCCCACTGTCCGATTCCGCTGCCGTCTGCACAGGCTGCCGGCGAACCACAACAATAAGCCTCAGTTAAGATCATCAGCAAGACGGACATGTTTAATACCGTATTTTCCTAAAAATAAGACCTAACTGGAAGATAAGCCCTAATGCGTCTTTTGGAGCAAACATTGATATAAGACCCAGTCATATTTTGGGGGAAACACAGTAGGTTGTACTGGTTGTTGGAGCCTGTTCTTCTTCTACGTATTCCACAGAGGTTGCAATTTCTAGCATATCTTCCCTCAGGGATGAAGCCATGTCAGATGATATATGGCCCATAACAAGAAACAGAGAATGGTAACAAAGTAACCCTCAGTAATTTCCAATATTCTCATTTTGCTAATTTTTTTTTAATCACTGTGATTTTTTTTAAAGGGGGGGGGAGGCTTTGGGGAGGATCATTTCAGTTCGTAACTCAAGCCGATTCTGAGGAAAACACATCCAGGTTTGGTCCCTCCCAGATTAAGCGAATGCTGGAGCAAACGTCAAGAACTTGTCCAAACTGTTTCTTATAAGCCACTCAAGAGCGATAAAAATAATTGGAATGAAATAAATCTTGCAGAAGGGTCAGTGGCGACCACAGTTCTTGAGGGAAGGATATTTGCAGGAACGTTTTCATCAACTGGGAGTCGATCTGCTACTTCTTAACAGCACACCTGCCAGTCGAAAGTTGCAAACATCGGCTATTTTCCACTTAGGGTTGCATCAAAAGCCTCACCTGTTCAATAACGGTGCCTGTCAAAGCCAGCACAGAGGAAGTGGAAAAGCTACTACGAGACGGGAAATAATCATTGCGACAGCCCTTATAATCCGAACGCTGTCACCTCATCTGTCTGTTTCGTTCCGTCTCGTCTCAAATTCCCCTGCCAAATGCTTCACCCACCCTTAAAAACCTTGGAGAAACAAGGGCACTGAAGAACCCAGATGAATCCTACAGATTAAACCAGAATCTTTCTGATTCAAGACATGACAAAGTCAGTTCTGATAAACCCAGGTCTAGCGGGGGAGGCACCAGGCTAGAAACCAGGAAATGGTGAGTTTTAGTCCTGCCTCAGGCTTGAAAGCTGGTTGGGTGTCTTTGGGATAATGACAAAGGTGACCGTGAGTTCTAGTTTCTGCCTTGGGCGTCAAAAGCCGGCTGGGTAACCTTGAACCGATCACCAGGAGATGGGGAGGTCTAGTCCCACCTTAGGCATGAAAACCAGCTGGATGACTACTTCGGGCTAGTTACTTTCTCTCAGCCCAACCCAGGGGTGAGCTTCAAAATTTTAGCAACTGGTTCTCTGCCCGGTTGCTGGGTGGGCGTGGCCTAATCGGCCTCCTGCACCATGGCGGTGAGGGGGGGGCAGTTTTCGCCCTTCCCGGGCTCAGGAGGCTTTTTTCCTCTCTGGGCTCTGAAGGCCCTCTGGAGACCGGAAACGGGCCTGTTTCCGACTTTCCCGAACTTCCAAGAGGCCCGTTTTTCACCCTCCCCTGGCTCCGGAGGCTTTCCTTGAG